AAAAAATCAATTCTCATCAGGAGGATAATGGCATACAGAAGCACTGAGCCTCAGTAAGAAAGATTTCATTTTCAGTTTTAATAGGAAACTGTCTATTAACAACAAAGATGCTCCGAGGGCTGGAGCCCCTCTGCCATGGGGACAAGCTGGGAGAGTTGGGCTTGTTCAGCCTGGAGAAGAGAAGGCTCCGGGGAGACCTTATAGCACCTTCCAGTGCCTGAAGGGGCTACAAGGAAGCTGGGGGGGACTTTTTACAAGGGTCTGTAGTGACAGGACAAGGGGTAACGGGTTTAAATTGAAAGTGGGGAGGTTTAGATTAGATATCAGGAAGAAGTTCTTCCCAGAGAGGGTGGGGAGGCACTGGCACAGGTTGCCCAGAGAAGCTGTGGATGCCCCATCCCTGGAAGTGTCCAAGGCCAGGCTGGATGAGGCTTGGAGCAACCTGGTCTAGTGGAAGGTGTCCCTGCCCATGGCAGGGGGGTTGGAACTAGATGGGCATTAAGGTCCCTTCCAACCCAAACCATTCTGTGATCCTATGAAAATGAGTAACATAAAAAGTAAACTTATGAAAAAGATACACTATCTTCAGCAACATTAAAAAATGTTCCCTATCAAAGCAGAATACAAAAGTTACAAATACTGTATTTTTCTGTATCATCAAATGAAGTCACGACTCCTTTCTTAAAACATGCTTAAGGACTGTTATCAGTCACCAGCAACATGCATCACACAGGGGTTTTGTCATAATAGTCTGATAGCATAACTGCAGTGTAGAGAAGTTTTCCACAGATTCCTGATAACCATCTCCTAGATGTTTGGCCAAACCTCCCCACAAAAAAGGATTACTTCAATGGACAGTTACTGCAGCCCTTTTCAATTCAACCTCAGAACTGATGAGGTGTATTCTTCTAGATTGCTGCAACTGTAAAATAAAATATCAGTTCTTCACAAGAACTCCTTGAAAATACAAATTTTCAGATAAGACAGTCTCAGCCTTTCTTCTAGTAAGACCCCAAATGCAAACATCTATTTCTGTTGCTGCAAACCTCTTAAAAACATCAGGTACAAGCATAGGAAATTACATCTTCTGTCAGAACTTTTAAAATTCTTATTAGTACAGTTATTCAAGGCACACTTCAGAAGAAAAAGATGAGTGTCCTCACAGCTCACAGATGTAACCAGACTAAACCCAGTTACCTTAAACGACTCAAGAAAGAGCACAGAGAACCCATCTCTGACTGCATTACGTTAGTCATATTCCACTCTATGGGCTCAGTCCCATAGGCTGAAAAATCAAACCCCACATCAGTGTAATGACTGCCTACTTACAGTGACAAATATTCGTTCAAGAAGAGCAAGCGACAACTATAGGTTTTAGTGACATGAACAGACAACTTTCTTTCAGTGACAAATATTCATTCAAGAAGAGCAAGTGGCAACTGTAAATTGTAGTGACATGAACAGACAACTTTCTTCTAAGGACCACATTTATTACATGATTGGGTGACTCAACCACCGCCCTGGGCAGCCCGTTCCAATGCCTGACAGCCCTTTCAGTGAAGAAATTTTTCCTAATATCCAATCTTTCTTGATGTGAGGAGCCCAAAACGGAACACAGTGTTTGATGCGTGGCCTCACCAGTGTCAAGTACAGGGAGACAATCACTGCCCTGGTCCTGCTGATATTCAACTATGGACATCAGCACAGAATTAACAAAACTGACTTCAACAGTTCATTGAGTTTCCAGTGCAATAGCTATATCTGACCACATCAGCAGTCCCAAACAACAAGTTAAAGCATGAAAAATCTTAAATCCAGGCAGATGAAATACAGCAATTGCCATGGGCCTTAATAAAAAAAAAGGCAGAACCCTTACCAAATGTCCATTAACATGAACAAGTTACCAGATATTCATCAAAAGACACCAAAAGGGTGAGGAGAAAGCTGTCCTCCTCCTCCTGTACCCTCACACACTGTCATTAACTCCTAGCATTTCAGTATCAAAATTTAAGGCTTGATGACATACTGGATTTTGGCAGCCGGAATTCTTTCACAGACCTCCAAAACCTTCCTAAGAAAACATTTTGATACATACCTGGCTTGAATAAGACATCCCTTCCCAATGACTATTGCCTCTACAGGAAGATCAATCGTGGTGAAAAGGACGTCAGGAACTTTTTGCTTCCTGCAGTTGTAACAGTAAGTGAGGTGAGCAGGGAATGGCATGTTCAATTCATCATATGGTATATGGCAAAACCCACAACCCGGTGGTGAAGCTTCTTCAATCCTAAAAATACATTACGGAGAACATACTTAAAACATCTGCATCTTAACAGTGCTCAATACATGCACACGTCTGTAAGTATTTACACACACCTATGTAAATCATACACTGCAGCTATACTGTGCTCCATTATACCAATGCGACAGGTATTGCATTTTATGAATTCGAAGAATAAAATTGAACTGCACACTACTAGCTAAAGTGTTATAAATAAAACTTGCGTGGAAACTTGAAATGCAGAGATCAATAAAAAGTACACACAACGACCAACAATCATAATATAAACCTAAAACATTACTGAGCTGGATTTAGGCATTATGATTTCTAACCGTAGTCCATGGTACAACAGTTGTACAGAGAATCTGCTGTACCAAATACAATGAAAAGTCTCTTTTACATGGGTTGTGTCCAAAAATCTACACAAACCTAATGAGCAGAACAAACAACAAACCAACCATCCTACTGAGGAGCAGCACAATACATATAAACACTGTAAGAGGAATAACAAGATTATTTCCTAAAATAAGGTATTAGGTAAAGCTTGTTATTCACTTAGAACACTTCTCCCCTGTAAGAAATATCCAGGAATGACCACGACAAGAATATGAACAGGGAAGCATAGACTAACTGCATCACTGCAAATTTGTTCTGTTTCACATAAACAATTCTCCTCAGTGAATACTGAAAAGATGCTTAAGCAAATCTGAGAATTCGTAACATCAGTTATTATCACAGATTTCGGCAAACGGATTTTGTCTCAAACACGGGCTTTGTCCATTTAGCTGTTTTACCTTGCTTTGGCATGTCTAATCTATGCCAAGACTCTTAGAAACACCAAAATACATATTTTGATAAAAATGCAATTTTCTTCCTATTATGAACATGACATTTCTTTCTCTCCATCATACAGTGAATATGGAACCAAGTATTTTTGTTTTGACTACAGTTTTTAAAAGTCTGTCTGCACAGGAAGATAACAGCCTCCTGCTAATAAAGTAAAAGAATAATAAATACTACTATGTTGGCAGAGTTATTATGGAAAAAGTAATGCAAGTGCCAAGATGCAATAAATAGCTTTACTTAAGACTACAATAATCCCTTGAAACATTTGATGACTATCCTGGTGAACACATAATAAATTAGCATTATACATTAATGAATCTAATTCTATTTCAAATAACTCTGTCAATACTCATTCTTCAAATCTTATTTGCAAGAGCAGAAACAAAGGGAAACTTCATGTTTTTCCTTCAGTCACGATTTTGTTCATAAACTTCAACTAAAACATAAATCTTTTGTAAGAACCTGGCACCATCTTTGTTTTACAACTGAGATATTTTATCTCCCATACAGCTCTTGAACATTATATAGAGAGCACATATACACATGATATAGCCATAGCTGTATTTGGCTTATATACTTTTACAGTGTGATATAAAGTGGAAAAAGATACCTGAAGAGCAGCAAAGAAAAAAAACTGAGTTATGATCTGTGGTTAGTAGTCAAATGTGTTACCTTATTCAGACTGTTAGAAATAAAAACAGAATATCTAATTTGGTGCAGAGTTCCATTACTTCTGTTGTTGTTGTTGTTAGTGAAAAGCAGTAAAGTGGTTGGTCCCGCATCCTGCACTGTAACACTGTAACCTACCCTAATAGAGAAGAACTATCTTGGCTCTGAGGAAAAAAATCAACCTCTCCCTTCTCTGACCCTATGGAAAAGAAGCCAGGCTGCCATGACAACCTTTGTTCCAAACAGCCTTCCATGGTGCCATCCTGAAGAAACCTAGGGTTCAGTACAGCTGCTGTGCCAGACGCGGACAAAATACAGACCTCTTCACTATAAGAGAAAAGAATGACAACAAAGTGAATTCCTACTACTTGGTGCTACTTTCACTTAAAACTATTAGATTTAAAGGCTGGTACAAAAGTCTCAGTTCATGCAATAGAGCTACTGATTTTGTGCATTTGTACAATTTCATCCATTAAATCTCACAAACAATCCTATTCTGGTATTTAAACCACTGCGTATGTTAGAGGTGCAGAAGGATTGAAGGGAAAGACTGAAGAGCTGTGCCCTACGTTATAAATAACATGCTGTGACACCCCAAAGGCTAACCAGGTTTAGGCATGCTTTTCAGTACTCTGGTTAATAATGCAAAGAAACCCCTCCAACCAACGAAAGCAAAGAAACATTAAAAACCAAGGTGTAACTCTTTGCCAAAGTAAAATGGAAGCTGAGCGCCCCATCATCTTATAAACATTCGCTCTCAAAATGAAGTTACAACACGGAGAAGGGTGATTCTTGCAGGATAAAATGTAGCAAAACAGTAAAATTTGACTACGAACAGCTACAATGTAAAGTAACTGACCATATTCATGAGTCAGCAGAATTAAAATACTCAGAAGTGCAAACTGTGACCACAGAGCTTTTAATATTCCTGAAATTGTTAAATGAGAAACAAATCTCTAACATTCAGTGCTTGAAATATTGTACTGGAAAAAATACTGAGAAAATTTTTTGCACATTTTCTAGACTGACACATGTGCCTTTTTTATTTGTTGTTTTATTTTCTGGAATAATTTTTCATATACAACATGTCTGGCAGACCAGTACTTACAGACAGAGCTTTGCTCTTTAAGCACGGAATAAAGCTGAACTGGCAAGTAAGCATAGGAACCCTAATAAGTTATTTTATCCATGATCAAATACTACATTAAATCCCTTATGAAAAACAAAAGTGTGAAATAACCCAGTAACTGACTGCCTATCTATACTCTGTACATTCTTTCCCTGTAGTTCAGGTAGAAAAAAACCCACAAAACCACAAATTATTCATGTTTTTTTCAAGGAGACTGTCAGCCAAAGGGAATAAATTTTCCATTCTTAGTAAAAATTCATCCCTCAGCAATGGAAACCTGCATACTGCAATACCGAGGTAAATATGGTCTTTGACAGTCCAAGCAAGACAGGACGTAACCGGACAAGACAGCATAGGGAATACAAGCCATGCCTTGTCTGAAGTAATTTCTCCTTTTTTCCTACTACACTAGCATGAGCACTTGACTTCCAAAAATTGTTTTCAAGATCTGTGAAAGATCAGTTTATTTGGTGTTTTGGTTGGCTGGGTTTTTTTTTACTCGCAGTGAAGCAATAAATGTGAAGGACTAACAGATATGAAGCCATCAGTGCTGTGGCTGTGACTGACCCTTTCCGTCTGTTACCATCTGGTGTGCACTCATGAAAGCACCGTACAACTCTGCATTTCTTTCTTCAACTTATTAACTGCAAAGTAAAATTAAAATTCTTTTTCCAACTTCTCTCTTTAAAAAAGCAAATCCTTAGTGCTTCTCCTTTAAAATATTTAGACAAAAATCAGCTTGACGGAAAATAAATTCAGATGTCCGAGTTTGGTCCAGTTACCCTCCTAAAGCAATTCAAAATGAGTGGGCCAGAGTACTTTTCTGTCTGACACCAGTCAGACACACCTGGCCCCTGGAGAAGCTCTTCAGATATTATTTTCCAGAGTGAGAAAGAGACACAGCCTTTCCTGGGCCAGAGAGAAGGACAAGTCATTAGATGAATCCAAAAATATTTCTCCTAATCTCCCAGCCTCTCAGAAAGTTTCTTATTAAGCCACCAAAATACACAAAACTGGAATTTTCTTAGCCAAAGGGAATACAGCAGGTCACTGGAGTTTTGGTCTGAATAGGATGCAGGGCTGGGGAATTCAGCCTCAGAAAGAACTACTGCGGAGTCACAGTTCAGTAGTACTGAAAGATGAAAATAATGCTTTTTGTTCCAGAAAGCAGTACAGAATATTTACACCTCCAGTATTCTAGATCTGCCAGGCAGCATATTCTCCTTCAACTTACAATTAACACATTCCTAGGAAAGAATCTGTGCCTTAAGTGTGAAGTTTACCATTTAAGTACTGGTCTGCCAGTTGTTACCCAATAATGAAACTGCAATACAGATACTTTTAGGAACAGTCTTAACTTCAGTAAATTCAGTTTAGAAAACTTCATAGATAAATTGTCACTACAAAAGCAAGTATGTAGGTTTGAAAAACTTTTTTTAAATAAAACTTTTAACATTCATTAGGGGAAAAAAAAAACCCACAACCTTACAACCCAACAAAAACCCAAACCAAAACATCTTTTTAAAGAAAAGCAGCACAGTACTGAAGTCTCAGAAAGTTACTTCAACTCTCTGAAGTTACTAAACTCTCCAAAGTTTAGTACTAGACAGCACCAACAACTGTGCTGAAATAGTTCATCATTTTTAATCCACTGAAGAGAAAATAAGTTTTCCGTGGCATTTTGAAAATCAAATTATCATCATGATTTACCAAATGCTAGTTGATTCACTGTAGCCCACTACAGCATGACAACCCAATGCCTTGGCATGGGATTTTATTTCTTGTCTGATTTCTGCCCACCATGCATCTCGTGTCTCTGGTTCATCTGAAAGACAAAGTATAAATCAGTTCACTATTCTGCACTATGTCAACATAAAGCTTCATGCAATTAATCTGACAAGTTGAATTTTTCATATTCAAGTGTTTTGTTGTATCTGGACACTTTTTATTTCCTAGCTATCGCACCTCAAGTGAACACTATCGGGCTTTTTCATTAATTGTCCTTCTTCTCACCCCTGTGAACAGGTTCTGACAGACTACTGCATTCTTGTTGTTGTCCATATGACAGCAAACAACAAAATACATAGATACCGTCCCAATCTCTACCCACTTGAAGATCATACTGTCAGTTTCCAACAACATGAGAGCAGCATGACACTTGCAACAAAGCACCAGACACCCTGTCGTATTGCAAAACTAGTAGTAATGAAACAGTATTTGTAGTAATAAAGCAATATTTTACTTTGGTATGCACTTGACATCTCTGAAATAATCTCAACAGTTTTTCCTGCTGCAAGCAGTTGTCTCCATTAACCAGGTTTTTAAAGTATTTGTTCAAGACTGTAATCAAACACACAGCGCTCTGGTCCCAATCCCAGCCCCTCCAACTTTGAGAAGCTATAGGTATTTGAAACTACTTCTACATTAACATTAGGAATTACAAATGTATGTTGAGTATGCATTTGTCAATGCTTTTTTGCTTTAATATCCTGGCAACACCCCCAACAGATTCTAATTACCTTTACTGTCTTTGAGGTTATATGTTAAAATGTATCCTACCTGCTTTTTCTTGAACGCTACATTAAAAATGCAAAAAAGATGCTACTAGAATAAGTTTATGCAACTCATCTATTTTAACTGTTCAACAATTGGTTCCCAGAACTAAAGCTCGTCTCACAAGCTTTTTATGATGAAGTCAATGAGCATCGTCATTTACAACTAGAGTTTGTCAACTGTTTCTTGTTTCAAAATGGCTTACCTGTACCAATGAACTTAGTAGAAAATTATGTTAATTGTCAGTACATAAAATAAGGGAAAAAAACAGTAACAAACAATAGGCACTCAGATGCTACAGAGGGTTCTTACTTACACAAGTTCCCCAAAATCAACTGAACTTTGCACAGTTACCTAGCCATTGAGACCTCCTTGCTGAATCATAATTTACAACATCAGTGTCAAAACCTGAGGCTCGTTGGGAATCCATTTTGTACTATCAGGAATATTTACAAATACAGTGTATGATAAGCCTCTATCATACACTAGGTTCTCCGACAACATGACAAACAAAAATGAAAGATGCGGATATACACGTATTTTGAAATTTACCGAAACAAAAATATTCTAAGGCGAGATGTATTAATTCATTCATGAATTTGCCTCAACTTCTCACTCAGAACTAGGCTTTCACCTGTCTAAAACCAACTAATGATCATTTTCTAATTAATAACAAAAGAGCACAGAGGTACGTATATTCAACTATCCCTAACTTCAGACGCTAACGCTTGTGTAACTCACAGCACTGTCCTGACTAACAGCAGCCTTGGGTGTCCAGACTGAATTTTAACCAACATTTGGTTTAAGAAATGAACACTGAACAGACAAAAAAACCCTACAGTGATAGTTCTTCAGAAGGTTCTCCAGAATCAAGACAAAAATATACACGTTAAAGACACAATGCAGACTAAGGATTTCCACGCACTGTAGCAATCCAATCACGTTCGATTATATCCAAGTTCACCTTTGGCAGGTTTTGTCACATTACCAGTAGAATCTCCAGGCACTGCACTTTGCTGTCTCTCACTGGGAAAACACTGTTTAAACACTTGTACTGACTGGGAAAATGAAATGCTTGAGATGACACACAATAATCCTGACTGAGGTGGTTGGAGTACCTGCTAGCACAGTCTGACAGTCACTCAGAAATAATCCATCACATCACAGGGCTGGAGTTCTCAAGCTCAGCTAAGGAACCAGCTGTGGTACACATGAAGGAAAGCGGGAGGGGAAACCTCTTTTGCATGTGCATCTCCGTCTGAACAGAGGCTGGGACTGCTGCTGCCAGCTAACGGCAGCCACGGGAGGTGAGCGGAGCAACTTCGGCAACCGTTTTTAAGGCACAGGCTACAACATCTATTTGGGAGATGGAAGACCACAAGCACATCCTTGTAACGTCAGATGTTACCACTAACTCTTCATGGTGGAAGGGACATGGATCGTGGGAGCGACTCCTCCTTTCCCATCCAATCACGGGCAAGAAGACTGCTTATCAATGTGCATTTCTCTAACAGAAAAGGGAAGTAGTAGGAAAAGTGGTTCACTGACTAGGCAGAGCAATTCTTGCTCGATCTGACTTGACCACAGGCAGCTGGCTATAAACACTGACTGAGCAGCCACACTGGTTTTTGAACTTCACAGAAAAACACCTGCAGAGGAGAAGCAATCTTTTTCTAGATGTAAATAAAGACAAAAAAAGCCAATTTTACTAATTTGTCACTTTTCTCTTCACACCTTTACGTACCACTTGGGAAAAACAGCTCCTACTTGTCACCAGTGACCTTTCTCTAAGAAAAAGTGCAAGGAAATGTGAAGTCATGACAGTGGAAGGTGAGCAACAGGTGAAGCAACTGGGGATGAACAGGGAAAGTAGTGTGGAATAAAGAGTAAGATTAAAAACAAGAATATGGCACTGAAAGGGTATGAGGTCACAGTGAAAACCAAGAGAGAATGAAATGCTGAAAAGGAGCAGATATGCTTAAGGGGAACAGAAAAGGCAGAAATAGTGACGGGTCCCAAACTCTATGCAAACACTCAACTTCCCTCCACAAAAACTTAAGAGTTTAAACTCAAGTTTAAGAACAAGTTCCTAAGAGTTAATGCAATTTTCTCACCTACGGTATCTACAAGAAGGTCTTATCATAACGGAAGGCACATATTGCTGTGAGGTTCCTCATGTCTTGCTAAAGCAACATTTAACCCTTTGAGAATCTGTTCAACATTAGAATTAACAAAACTCCTAAGTACAGTAATAATGGATCATTTTCATTCTTAACAGAAATAGGAACAATTTTCCAGACATCGTCTTCAGGGTTAACAGGATCAGGCCCAACATCTTTCAAAAAACTCCAACAAATTCTCATTACAAACGTTAAAAAATTTCTACATGAGTCATGCAAAACCAAGTGTTTGTAGAGAAGACTGGGTCCAAAAATTCCAACAGATTCTTATTGCACACATTAGAAAATTTCTACACGAGTCATGCAAAACAAGTGTTTGTAGAGAAGACTGGGTCCTCTGCTTAAGATAATTAATGGAGTATTTTTTCTTCCAGAAAGAGGCTAAAAATATGAATCAGTATGTTTATACAGACATAGTGTACATTCAGTTTACATGAACTTACCTTTGCATATTAAAACACAAAATGATTGTCTACAATTAAAATCAAACACCATGACATTGCAATAATAGATTGATACAAAACACTGAATGCAGTGCAATGTGTAGCATTCATATTCTTCTGACAAAGATTTTCACAAGCAGCCTTTTTTGACACATGAGCCACACAATTTCACATGGGGATGCCATTGTAGCGTTTACAAGTTTAGTAAAGCTAAGGATTTACAAAAACAATTAGAGGAGTCAGGGAAGCAGGATGGCATGTGTCCAGTACACTCCATCAGAGTGCCTGTTGTTGTTTTTTGCTAAGGCAAAAGCTTAAGAACTAAGGGTTTGCAAAGCAGATTCAGCAGACAGTAGCCAGAAACGGTGGGTATTTTGGCGCATGCTTGGATCAGGTGACAGTACAGACTGAAAACTATGGCAGCTCACTGAAATGGTTACAGAAAGTAATGGCCCTGGATTCTAGGTGGAAGCAAAAAGGCAAGCATACATAGCACTCAGTCACAAGCTTTTCTAGCAAATCTACTGAGTAGTTTATAGCAACGTTTATCTACAACTTTAAGCCAAAAAGTCTGCAAAAATTACACTGCTACTGTGTGCCCTTTATTAAAGGAAACCAAAGGCTGAATGTTAAACCTACTTCTATTACCGTTTCAGAATTGGCATGGTATTTGTAACAGTCAGTTCTCTCCACCACCAACTCACCTATCTCTTTCCTTCAAAACATAAGGTTGACTTCTATGAGGCTGTATGGTCAACAGGACAACACCCTGTCCAAATCTTTCACCTGGAGATAATCCTAGACACCATGAATACTTTCTGATGCATAAGAAGCAACACCTTTCCCAAGTTATTTGCTAGAGGTTCACCTCTGCAGGGCCTTTCAAGGTTTAGCCAGAACCTGCACTATGCTAGGTCCACACAGATTTTCAAACACTGAATTAAAATTATGAATGGTCTAATGATTACACAGATCATACCCAAGACTTGTTTAGTAAATATTTACATTCATAATCTAACGTTCTGAAACGAGAAGGACAATCATACTACAAGAGTCTTCACAACCTACAAAGGACTGATTGTTTTGTTGTCTCAAAAATGGCAACGGAAACACCAATAATCTTCTTTCAAATTCAATCATTGAGTCTCACTAGAGAGACATTATCCACACCTTCCTTACGTCCTTATTATCTCCTTCATTAAAACCTATTAATCAGCTTATAGAGAAAGAAGTGTGGGATTTTTTGTAGGTTTGTTTGGTTTGATTTGGATTCTTGAAGTTTTTCTTTGTTTTTTCTCTTAACAGACACCTTAAGAAGGTGTCTCTAAAATCCCTTCTTCCCCCAGAAGGATTTACAACACCCTTACCTGGACCCTGAAGTTTAATCCTCTCTAGTGATCCCATACATACTGAAATTTCCTACCATCTTTTTAAAACATTTAATAATTAAGTAAGTGTGCCAAAAGCCAAATCCTCCTGTCTGTAAAGTTAAAACAACAAAACCTAGGTAGCAAGAAACTAAACCTACAACAGAGTTACCTAAAACTTTCAAAATATTTTCAAAGACACTCCATTCATTTTTAAAAATTACTCCCTGTATTCATCCTTAAGACTAGAAGATGTGAAAATGAAAATTTTGCTTATGGTAG